AAAATTATTAATCGATGCCATGACTGTACTAAGGGGCTGTTTGGTTGCCTGCAAAGTAAACGCAATGTAAAGTAAATGTAGTGTAAAGTAAATGTAGTGCATTCCAAATACTTTGAAGTTGTTTGGTTATCTGCAAAGTAAACGTAGGAGAAATATTTCCCTTGTTTGGTTAGATATATCCAGAGTAAAGTAAAAACAGTGCATTTGTAATATTTTTTTTGTCATTATAACTTGTGTATTTATAGAAGTAATAACCGATTGTTTAAACTTCGTTTGGGATAGCTTTCTTCTTGCTTTCTAAAACATTCCAAATCACTTTGAGCACATCATTATATTTTTGAATTTGATGTAGTTCAGCAACATTTTCCAATGGTTTAACCATCTTTGTAACTATAACATCAAAATTCAAACAAAAAAAATCAATGGTACTTGGTAAAGTTATAAGATTCCTTATTTATATACCAAAGGAAAAGTGTATAGTCCCGACAACGACTCACAAATCTAGCAACTATAAATATTTTCTTAAAGCACGACACTAAAAAAATCTTATCCCCGTGATTGACCATCAAACCTGATCCATGTCTTTCAGTAACTCAATGCTTGAAGACAGCACTTACAAAGGCGTGGACAGATATTTGTCATTCTGAAAGGCTCAAGAAGCAGTACTTAAATGTATGAAATATATCAAGTTCAAAATGGCCCTGGAGGATGTTTTTTTAATCTAAAATAGCCTCCAAAGGCATCACAAACAATCATAAATTAGCAATGTGTGAAAGAAAGCAAAGCTCTCTTAGCATAGAAATTATAGTGTAAATTAAGGGACAATTGATTCCATTACCTCGCATGAATCATCCTAAGATGAACATGTTGTGAACAAAACAAATGTAAGATTTTAGAAAACAGCAATAGAAAAATGTAAACTACGCTAAAATATAAGGTGACGACTCCTGGAGGAGCTGTCAAGGTAATCATTTTCTTAGGGGCATTTGAATATTTATTTTATGATTTTTATCACATAGATCTACTGATTCAATCTATATTTATGAGAAATTAGTTTTCTTTTGGAATTGAAGAATGGTGACTACATTTCTCTGTTTGTTGATCCTTATAGATTGGAGACTTATCCTTTGAAATAGATTATGGATTGTAATTGTGCTACCATTAAGAATTTTATATAATTGGAACAAACTGATAATGTATGCACGCCTTAGAAATGAAAAAAACAATATCGCATCATAAAAAAGGTACACAATCTCTGTTTTTTTCTTCTAAAAATAAAAAGGATAAACTGCTAGCTGCTTCTGCAGCATGCAACATGCAATAATAACCAAACACAATTGCATGAAAGAAAATTGAATTATTTTGATTGAAAAGACCCAAAAATCTCAAGAAACAGAGATGCTACCCTTTGCTTCAGTACAATTCATGACCTTACTAAATGAGCATATATAAGCCCCAATAATTTATGGCATTTCGATTTATTGTCTTGTCCAAAGATCTGATACCAATCAAATTCATAAAAATATCAACTAACTCTAAAATTCAAATACTAACAAATAAACGAATCAAAAAGAAGTTCTTCTTGATCAGAATTCATCAACTCACTGTAAGGCTTCATGAGTCCTTGTGACCTCCCCCATTACATCCTTATCTTGACCAAGCTTCTATTTTGTACATTGAAACATTGATAAAATAAGAAAAATAAACAAAAAAAAGAGTGAATAAACGAAGAAAGAACTGGTATTTGAAGTTCCATACTTTTCAATACTTACTGAATGAAAGAACCTTACTGAATGCCCCTAAAAATTTCATATTTTCAATACTTCTTGTACCAATCAAAGAAATCAAGAATTCACCTATCAGTCGACACCCTCCTCTCCCCTCCGCTATTTACCCTCGTCTTCATCATTTTTCTCCTCTCCTCCTCCTATTCTCTCTATCCCTTACCGTTTCCCACAAAGATAACACCTTTAAAGAAGAACCCGAGCAGATTCGAAAGGAGCAAAAGACCCGCAACTCCGCAAACAGGACAAATGACGAGAAAAAGCAAGAAGAGGTCAAAGACGATGGCTTGCAGGCGAGGAAATGATAACGCTAAGCAACAAAAGAAAGCTTCCTCGGCGAAAGCAAGAGGAAGGAGGTAACTAAGCTGCCTGCCGAACTATTTCTTCTTGTTTAAAAATCAAAGCAGAGAAGAAACTCGATTCTTCAATACAATTCAGATCTTTTGCGAGAAACAGAGCTTCTTCGATATGCCAGAAATCGAAATCACAGGGGCGGCGGAAAACAAGAACGAAGGAGCCGAAGAAGCTTCTCGTGCAATGAAGCCGAACAGCACGACGACGATAGGTGGATGAGGGCGTTGCTGACAAAGAGGTTGGAGCGGAGAAGGCCGGACTTGAGGGTGACGGAGTGGAGCTGTTCGCCGGAGCGAAGTCTCTCCGAAGATGCTTGCCGGAGTGAAGTCGAACAAGAACGAAGGAGCCGAAGAAGCCTCTCGTGCAATGAAGCCAAACAGCACGACGACGATGAAGCTTTTCTTCCGATGAATTTATAACCCGCTCGTTACGAGCGGGTCTCTAATTCTCGCAAAACAGCCCCCGTAATACACCCCTAACACATCCGATGATTTCTTTTTGTTCCCCTCAAAATTAACCAAACAATCAAATTTAATAAATACATGTAATTGTTTTACTTTACACTCCTAATTCAGGCAACCAAACAGCCCCTAAATTGCTTGATAAATCATTTGATGAAAGGTAGCTAACCCGTGTAAACTCATACTCATAATATAATGAGTATTGATAGGTTTTGTCAAATATTTAATTGCTTTAACCTTGTCTATGGCAACAAACCAACAAATAGCCCTTAAAAAGATCCCCAAAAATATACTGGATGGACTTGACAAACCAACATTTTATTAGATATATTTTTTAGATGATAAATTTTCAACAAATTTTTAAGATACATCGAATGTTCTTTTGTTTTGTTGTAAATCAAAACAATGTCAGATTAAACAACTCTAAAATTTTCATTAAACTCTCTCAAATCATGATTTATAATTCTCGTGAAAGTATTCATGAAATTATTTGATCCAAAAAGCATCACTAGCCATTATTCATTTATTCCGTCATTTGATATAAAAAAAATTTTCACTCAACAAAACTTTTTAATGTATGTGAAAAATTGAATTGGGACCAACCAAATTTTGGTTATGAAAATTATATTTTATGTACCTAAGCTATTTTAATAGCTTTGAGGGCAATTTAGTTTATATTTATTCTTTCAGGTGTTAATTTAGAAGTAACATTCATGCAACTTCCACTATTGATGATAGATTTGCGGAGCTTTGCATCTTATTTAAAGTGGGTTTACAAAATTGAATTTATATTCCAATTAGGTTAGATCTTAGGAGTGACATTGATACACTCAATTTTGTTCAAGGGAGAATATTTTTTATTTACTTGATGCACATCTTCTTCATTTTTTTATCCTTTTCTTTAACAGTAATGTGCACATTTCTATTAAGAAATTCACTTGCAAAGTGACTCATTTGGTGACTTCTAAAACAAGAACAATAATTTTGGATCTTGATGTAGTAGCTATTGACTTTACTATTGATTCTTTGTTACTAATGATGGTGTAGACTATCTTTAGATGCAGTTGTTTTGATGTTACTGCTTCTAGATTTTGGAAATCTTAATAGTTATTTAAAATTCAAAGCCAGTTGAGAAGTCATCTCGAGTGGAGCGTCTTCTCTTGTAAGTTCAAATTTGTGTCCAATCCTAATCTTGAGAAAGACATAATAAAAATACTACAATCAATAAAAAAATTGCAAAAATATAAACAAAATTTCTCTCATCATTATTATTAACAACAACAAATTTAATTTAATTTTCAAATTTTTTGAATGTTCGAACTACAAATTTAATTAAAATTTCAAAATTCTCAAACATAATGAGAAAACAACCTATAAAAAATTTATTTTAAAGGTGGCCGCTTCATAAGAATAGAGTCATAAGCAAAAAGCTGATGAAAGCAAAAAATGTACAACGGGCTTTTGGTTTAATACCAAATCAAGAAATAATGGGTAACCCAACAATATGCAAGATCTTGATAAAAGAAAAGATTATTGAGTCAAGGTAAGAGATTTAAACACCTTGATTTGATAGCTAAACTAGGAAGGTTTGTGCTCACAAATTGAAATTCAACCCTGATCATTTTTGCTGAAATTTAACCCCGATCATTTTTTGCCATAGCAGGGATTTTTCTTGCACACAACGACGAAACCTCTCCACACACACAAATGATGAAGAATAGGGGAGAAATTATGCTAGGGTTGGCATCTCTTAGTTGAATTGGTTTCAAATATTCATTAGCTTTAAAATAGAAAAAAAAACTACTCTTGTAAGATAGGTACATTTTCAAAATATGATCCTAAATGCTTGAAAAGCACACATATAACCTTAACATAGCAAATTGCAAAATAAACTGAAGTCCTCCTACATTTTCTTTTGATGACTTATTAATGACATAATACATAAAAATAAAAAATTAAACATATATGATACATGAACTTGTACTAGTTCTTTTACATTTTTTTGCTTGGCATCACCTAACCAAAAGTTATAATTGTTATATTCTTTTTTTTAGTTTAAAGTCAAACTTCCAACTTATTTATACACATTCATCCTTCATATAGATGCAATGCCACATTCATTTGTGCTTGTTTTTATCCAGTTTTGAACTATATTTTGATTTAGACTTTAATCCTTCCCACAGCTCAATTAAGCAGTTGAGTTGTTGCTCATTGATGTTATTATTTATCTCAACTCAATTTTAAATGCATAAAATCCAATGTTCTTCTTAATTTTCTACCAAAAAAAAAACTATATGGTGAAGCAAACTTCTATTTGATGATTTTTTGTAGATAAATTTGTCATCATATTTTTTCCTGAAGTAATTATCTTTTGTTGAATATCCATTATCCGATTTTGCAGAGGATGTGACCCCAATTCCCACCGACAGCACCCGTAGAAAGGGAGGCAGGAGAGGGAGGAGGCTGTAGTTGCTTTGCATCTATTTTGTGGGTCTCCATCTTTCATATAAATTGCGAGAGAGATCTTCAGTTTGCATGAATTTTCTGGTTAAAGTTGGCTTATGCTTTGTTTTAGTTGTGAAATCAGTTGAATTCTCAAACCATTTCTTCAAAGAGTAACACTACATTTTGCAAAAAATTTATACCAAGTATTATTTTGATGTCTTTTTTATGAGTATACCAATTAAATTTGGCTGTTTAACTTTTATTTTATAAGTGTTTTTATTGTTCAATCTCATCAAAGTATTTGTGACTTGAGTTTTTAATTTATATTTTTTTAGCATGACATTTCTATTGAAAAAAAAACCTTTTGTTGCTTTTTAAGCAATCCTTTCTTTGCTCATTAAAGGCTTTATTTGACGTGCATGCTGATGATTTTTGTTAAATTGCTCAACGCTTAATCCTAATAATGTAATGCCTAAATTATAGGATGAATATATTTTTCACAGGTTTAGGTTTTGTTTGATAATGTGTTGTTGAATTATGCTGATATTGCGGGATAATTTGTGTGAACTTTCTTTAAGTAAAACAAGCTAAACTTTTAAATATTGAGGCTTCTTTTAGTGTGATGGTTGGAATTTCATTAAGAAATTCTACTATTAAGCATGTTTATCTCTGAGAAATATTGAGATGAGTGACCTCCAGTGAAGTTGCACTAACAAGATAAAATCGTGAGGCCCTTAGACTAAAGCAGACAATATCTCGATAGTTAAGAGTTTGAGCTGTTACAATTTGTTCGGTAAAGTATATTATTTTTGTTTTTTGTTTTCTTGTGCATACTCAACATCAAAATATAAAATTTCAGGCTTTTTTTTTTTTAGTTTAACTAGAATTGGAATTATATTTTATATATTTTTAGATGTTTTGTTGAGTATGTAAGTGTTCCTTGAGAGGCCTCATTTGTTGCTTGCCCCAATGAAATGGAACATTTTTTCCTTGAAATTTAGATGATGATAGGGCTGCCAATGAATAAATACCCCTTAGTGCTTAGGCCTGATTTTAGTTAATTGAATAAATTTGAATATTTGTATAAATACTCAATGGATAAATAAATACATTTATATGGCTTGATAATTTATATATAATAATGGATAATATTATTAAAGCTGAGTTCATTAAGAAGTTTGATTAAAGGTTTATTACAATTTTCATTTAAAATTTGATGACAAATTTATTTAATCTATAATTATATGAGAACTTTCTTCTATTTTATATTAAATAATTTTTGTTTATGAACATAATTGCTTGCTTATGTATGTTAAAATTCTTTATTTAATTATAATTTTATTTTTTAAGTTCAATAGGCACTTTCTTAGTAGATTTGATAAGATTTATTTAAATAATTAATAAGTTGTTTCCTAATATTGCTCGTTGATAAGCTTGATAAGGATTGTTGGATTAGTTAACAAGTTGAGCTCAAATTAAGCTTAAATAAGTTTAATGTTATTAATACAAAACAAATAGAACTATAATGTTTTTATAACCAAAAATACAAGAGGGTTTATCAAAGTAACACCTAGAGAACTATTTATATAGAAGAACATTAGTTGAAATGGTGCAATGTAAGAGGCCCAAGAGCTTAACAAAGTTGAGATCTTTCAAAGTGTTTGAAATGAAAGAGTAGAGGCTGTTAGCATGTCTCTCTTGAGTGGCAATGGAGGTCGCCAACATATACCGGTGAGCAAATTATCTAACATCCCCTCACCGACCGCCCATGGATGACGATGGTGCATTCAACCCTCTGTCGTTGACACTGATTCGTCTTGGAATGAGACACCTTGAACATGTTTGAACACTCTAAGCATCCACAATCTTGAATCAAAACTACAAAGCCATACGATGCTTTTTGGAGATGGGCTTCATTCCGGGAAAAAAATTATTCTGTGTGGATGCTGAACGTAGTCTGGAGGCCAACCAGAATGTAACACATCACCCTGTGCTTGGTGCCGTGGCTCGGTATAGCTGATGTAGAGCATTCTGATTGGTCTCCGGACTACGTTCTGCATCCTGTCTCCGCACAGAATAATTTCTCGTTTGGGATAGCTTTTTTATTACTTCTTAAAGCAATTTAGTTTTTCTACTATAAAACTATTATATGAAGTAGTAAGAAATTCGACTCAAACGAAATCTTAAGATTTATTTGAAACAACTTTTTTCCTGTTTTGTTTTTAATTTTATTTGACTCTTGCATTATCATTATTTTTTAAAAATTTTATATTTGAAACCTTTGTTTACAGTCAAAAAAATTAAAGTTATTTTTCATATAATAATTTTATAAAATATTGTAGGAATCCCAACTCTTAAGGTACGCATTAATTCATTACAAAAAACCAGATCTCTTCGAGATCATATCAAGCACTAAAAAACAAAGACTTGTCGATTCTAACAGTTATCAAGACAACATTAAATGAAGTCTATAAATAGAATTTGACTAAAATCTATTGCCGTTATTTCTTTCTTCTTTGGCGTCCTCCCAAGTTTTGATTTTTGAACTAAACACAGCGTTGAAGTTTGAAAATATTTTATTCTCACGCTGAAAAAAAAAGGTTACGTTTCAACGTTTATCAGGATTTTGCGTGTTCATTCAGGTAGAGCCGTGCAAAAAAGATAAATTATTGAAGACGGTATCAAGAAGACGCATAAAGGAGGAGGAAGAAGAAGGTAGGGAAAGCTGTTATTATCTATCTTGATATTACTTTTTACATGAGAATTTATAGACCTAAGTTATACAATATCAATGGCTCATATTACAAGATATTCATCTGACGGTGGAGATAACACATGATGGTTAACATCCCCCCTCAAGTTAACAGTGAATTGTTAAATTGGATCGAAGTTGCAAAAATATGTTAGAAGACATTATTTTTGTGAAAATATTAGCCGGCTGATCTAAAGATGCTATATAATGAACTGAAATGTGCCCATTTTTTATGCAGGCACGAATAAAGTGGTTATTGACTTCAATATGCTTGGTTCTTGCATGAAACACTGGGTTGTTTGCAATAGCTAATGCAGAAATGTTGTCACAATAGAGATGTGTAGGACTAGAGCACAAAATTTTGAAATCTGAGAGCAAACGCCTTATCCACAAACATCACCTGTAGCTATGGCGAGAGCCTGGTATTCCGTTTCTGTAGATGATCGAGCAATTAACACTATGTTGTTTCTTGACGAACCACGATAAAAGATTATCTCCTAAGAACTCACAATATCCTGAAATCTAGCGTCGATCAATGGGATTCACTGCCCAGTCGGAGTTTGCAAATGCTTGAAGCTGAAATGTAGAAGACAGGATTGGCATAGTATAATCAACAGTGCCTTTAAGATATCTAATACATGTTTGAGGAGTGGAAATGTAACTGATACGGTTTGTGCATATGCTAATAGAGGTAGATAACAACGAATGCGATGTCATGTCATGTTATAGTGATTTACTGAAGTGAGCCAACCAATTGTTTGTATAATTTGGGTTGATCAAACATCGCAGCAGTCTTAGGAAGTAGCGAAATTTTGGATGGAAGAGGGTTGATAACTGGTTTATAGTGAAGCATGCTATTTTTATTCAAAAGATTTGTGATATACCATTTTTGAGACAACTATAGACATGTGGAGGTAGTTTTGATATGAATTCCTAGAAAACATGTGACTGGATCCCAAGTTACACAAGATAAAAACCATATGTAATGTCTGAAGAAGGCGTTGAATCGAAGATCTTCAGAATTATTTTCAGTAATCAATAAATTATCAACATAAATGAGGAGATATGTCTCAATGGGACATTTGTGAAAGATTAGAAGTGATGGGTCAGTTTGACTAGCTTTAAAACCAAACTGAAGCAATTGAGATGACAGAGTGGAGAACGATTGTCTAGGATATTCCTTGAGGCCATAGATAGCTTTGCGAATATGACAAACATGATTGGGGTAAATGATCAATAAACCCAAACAATTGCTTTATGAATACTTGATCAAATAAAGTTCCATGAAGGAATGCATTCGAAACATCCAAATGATAATTCGGCCAATGAAGTGTAGTAGCAACAATAAAAAGAAGTTTGATAGTTGGAAACTTAGCGACAGGACTGAACATATCAATTTCATATTCTTGTTTAAATCCTTGTGTAACGAGATGGGCCTTGTGACGTGCAATGGTCCCATTAGAATTAAACATTGTTTTGAACAGCCATTTGCAACCAAGATTATTTTGATCAGGTGAAGTAGGAACAAGTGACCATGTACCCTGAGCTTGTAATGCTTGAAATTCAGTAGACATTGTCGAACGCCATGCTGGAAATTTATTAGCTTGAGAGAATGAAGTGGGAGAAAGAGGAAGAACAATGTGTTGAAGATCGAACTTATGTTTTGATTTAAGAGAGTCGGTTTGATGCCGCGTAATCATGGGGTGATGAGTTATAGGAGCAGACAATAGTGGTGGTTGAATTGGAGTTGGAAAATCAGTGATTGAATTGGAGGGAGTTCTGTGTGGCATTGTGGAGTTTGGTCGAGGATTAACAGGAGCAGAGGCAATGGTTGATGAAGTTTGAGGAGAAGTATTAGTATTCGGTATATGAGTTGAGGTAGTTGAATAAGAAGGAATACTAAAGGAAACAGAAGTGGGAACCCGAGTGAGAGGAGGAATCAACAAAGTTGATGAAGTGATTGTAGTAGAAGGATTTTCAGAAGGCAAAGAAGTAGTTGATCGAAATGAGAATATATATATATATATATATATATATATATATATATATATACGATTTGTGACAATATCTAGGCATTTAATTATATCCAGCTAGATGAGCTGTATAACCAAGAAAGACACATGGAATATCTCTAGGCTGAAGTTTATGTCGTTGTATTGGCAATAACCAAGGATAACACAGGCAACGAAACACTCGAAGATGATTATAGGAAGGTATTTGATTGAATAAGCGTAGATAAGGAGACATGTTATTTTTAGACTTTATTGGTAACCGATTTATAAGAGAAGCAGCTGTCAACAGTGTATCAACCCAGTAGGAGGTAGGGATATTAGTTTCAAATAATAGTGCACGCATTGTTTCAAGCAAATGCTTGTGTTTCCTTTCAGCAATGTTGTTTTGTTGTATTACATAAGGACAAGTAAGTATGTGAGCAATGCTGAAATTTTGTAAGCATTTGTTAAATTGTTTATTTATATATTCACCACTTCGATCAGAATGAAGATCTTTTATTGGAGTTTGAAATTGATTTTCATGGCACCATGGCATGTTGTGTTATACAATACCTCTAACTAGCAATTTAGTGCCCAAATGCCCAAAAAATTCTTTGAAATTGATGTTCGATGTTGGAATAAATCCTGCACATTGTTCCCCTCATAACGAAGGCAATAACTTTTATGAAGAGGTTTACTATCCTATAGGACTCCTCCCAACTATGAAATGCGGCTTTAATAGCCTTCCTTCTACCATCCCAAGCCTTGATGTAGGAGACCTAATACTAAATTTAGCTTCAATATGACCAATAATATCCCTGGGCCATAAGTCCATTTATTATCTAATTGGTGGTACAATGAAGGAGTTGATAAATATAAAAGCACATTATCTGTGACTCATGAATAGAATTGGAGTTTCCATGTGTGATCATTCCTCATTCTTGAAATCTTCCATGAACCTCCTAGATGCTTGCTTGAACTAGCATGCAATCGTCATAAACAAGGTCTATAAGTGACACCATGCTGCACATATGCTACTGACAACTTTTGCTTATTTGATGCTAACATTATAAATTCCACATTGTTTAATATTGACCAACCACGTAATACAAACTATAGGTCTACTTTCCTTGCCAAGCAAATCCCTTCAACTAACTCTTGTGGAATTTGTAATTGTTCTCCTACTAGCATCATCAAAGTTAATCTCCTCATCCCACTCCCGAGTCATCCAATAAATGCTAGCAAAGTTATTATTGCAATCCATTCGTTCTTCTGCATTTATAAATCTTACATATATAGTGATATGTAATAAGATTTTTCATGGCACCATGGCCTGTTGTGTTAGGCTCACGTAAATCAGTTGAAGAGTCTTCTACATTCTCAAAAAATTCATTTTCTAAACCACTGCTTATTGTCTTATAGCTTTCGATAATTGTTCACATAGGACCTCTTGCCTTCCTCATCATTTATGTTCTAATGAGATGACTGTGTTGATGGTGTTGCCATATTCAAATTAACTTCATCTCTCATAAACTTGTTGCACCGACAATAACTCAGCATCATAATTACGACATATAATATATGAATAGCTGGATGGAAATAAAATTATTTAGACACTATGTATCTTGAGTGAAATCTATCATTTGAGTATGATGGATTAGACAACCTTGGTTCTTCTGGTCTAAATTAAAGAACTCCATTATATGGACGTTTAGATTTTCAATATTCCTCATTTCAATGTCCACAATCTAAATTTCAACATACAAAAGAAGCATTTCTTTAGAATCATGATCCAAGACCACTTCACACACTTCATCATCATCAGCATTGGTTGTGACAAAATCATTTCCAACAGACATATGATATACCATATTTACCATGCTTCTTGACGGGTCATATTTAAGTTGTCTAACACTACAGGGTTCGAATCCCGCCTTCGGCGAATTGGGCCTGGGTGCGGGCTGGGGCATTTGGTGGCTGGCCCTGAGTTGCAGGTTGCGCGCAGAAATGGCTAGGGCTGAGCCTTGTCATGGGCCTGACGGCGTGACCTGGTTGGGCAACATGATTTTAAATATTTTTCTTAATTTTTCCAGCGGACGAATCCCCCCGGAAATTGTAACAGTAGAATATTTCTGCCATAAAGCATTTCCGGTGCATTTTTTTACGCCGAATCAATTTTTCCGACGTGTGTGTTGCCGTTGCAAAATTTTCCATCTGAAATCCGTCGGGATAGCTAATTTCTGACGGATTTTGTTGATTTTCCGGCGAATTTTGGCCATCGATAACTCACGATTTTTCTGTAGTGTAAGGACTCGTCATTTGAGCTGCTCTATATTAGTATTTGTCGGCACTTTTAATGGACGGGTTAGACCTTCGGTATATGTAGGTGATAACTGATCGTTCACACGTAGTTAGCCGTCATGCATAAACATAATTGATGCGCGGTGTCGACTTATTGCTCTTAGTATAAGACTGACACAATAAGATAATGTATTTATATGTTAGACACAATGCTTCAAAATAATGGTTGAGAAAAAATTAATAAATAATATTTACATTACAAGACTCTATGAGTGAGATAAAATGGTTTTTTAAATTTTAATTAGGATTATTTTATTTTAATTAAGAATATGAGAAATCTTAGTTTAATACAATGGATTCTCTAAAGGATTTTGCAACATCTAAATTTTTAAAAAATTATGTTCTCAAATAAAGGATAATTTTTTTTTTTAGATTCGGGCATGTAACATACAAAATAGTAAAATACCATCTAAAAAACATAAATAACTAACAAAATTTGAATTACTCTAGGATTCCTCAATTATAACATAATTTTTTTTGTTTAATACAGATTATTTTATAATTACATAAATTTAATCATCAATAAACTTGAAGATATCTAAAAGTTTTCTTAGTAATATAATACAAATTTTAAGTTAATTTAAGAATATAAACATATTTAAAATTATTATAATTAGCTTTGATTTTCCTAAATTAAAATAATACAGCATAATCAGCATTTAAACAAAAAAATTCTGTCATATAATTATGAAACATAAACCTAATTGGATTTATGAAAAAAAGTATCACTTAATTATCAATAATAATTATATATACATACATATTTAACACATATTAATAAGTTAAAATGAAAAATTAATCCAATAAATTATAAACATTATAAACAGATCATCATAAGGAAAGAAAATTAGAAATTATTTTAGTTCTCAATTAAATTTTTTTATGAAATTCAAGTATTATTGAAAGCACAAAAACACACTTTAAAAATTAAATAAACATAAAATCCTAAAGTCTCAATCTACTGAAATAAATATTTCTAAAAGTGATTACTAAATACTAATTTGGCACTGCAAAGTTAACTACAAATCTGAAAAAAAAAAAAAAAAAAATTGTCAGCTAACACCAAACCTAAATCTTATGCTTTCACAATATTTGATTAAAAAATAAATCACATTCCTACAAACATTACATTTCTCAAATAACAAAAATACAAAAAAATTCCTACCAAAAAACTTTAAAAAATAACACACTTGCAAATGCTCAAAATAATGGGACTTGCAATCGATTATCTCGCTCAAACAACCGCCTTCGAAATACCATGAGCTTCTTCAGTGAGAAGCGAAAATCATGTCTAAGAGGGGAAGATAGATTATTATGTGGGGAGTTCGGACACAGAAAACTGTTTAGATTTGTAACTATGAACAGTGAAAGCGTAGTAGTGAATCATTGGCCTTCCCCGCGATTGGCTTCTTCCATTGGCCACATCAACGACCAATTGCTGGATAAGCCAGTGACTAAGCCTAGTTTTACTTTTTTTAAAATGGCATGCTTAACCTAATAAAAAGAAATTAAATACAGATTTTTAAAATTTTTCTTGGCTACAAAGAAATTTTTTTTTTTTAAAAAAAAACTTGACTACTAAAAATTCTGTCAATATTTTACTAGATAAATCCATTTTTTTCATTACAGACATCTTATCGATAAAAGAAGGCTAAGAAGCGTACAAAACTAAAGGACAAAAAAAGCATTTAAAGAAGCATATACTGTAAGTATCGAACAGTTAAATTCCATTCATTAAAGGCCTCTTTATCTCCCATGCTGTAAGCTCTATTATCTTCACGTCTTCAGCCCCATTGTTGAAAGCAAAAATACATGCATTTGAACCAACGGCAAAATTTGGATAAACCCTTGACGTTATGCAAGTTCTTCCCTTTGCTCCAAAGCTCTCCACCACCGAATGATCAATCTGTAAACAATTAACAAAGCTTTTAAACGTTATAAACTATATATGATCAGAGCAGATACAGCACATATTATCAACCAAATTACCAGAGTTCTGAGAGATAACTTCCCACCACTCTTTCTCAAATCATAATTCACAAAGCCTCCATATGTCGGCTTGTACAAGCCTGTCCTCTTCGAAGATCTGTTAAGACATGGCGAATGTTGTTAATTAATCTCATTTTAGTTTATTAATCGATTGATTAATTAACAAACAGATGCATTAATCAGTGCAATCAATATTCTGCAACAGCTCTGTTGACTTGGAACTTGGAAGATTAAACATGTGTTGAAATGGTCAGAGCGTCATTATCTATTGGACTTCCACTGCTATACGCAACAATATGAACGCATGGAGATCCTTACACTACAGAAAAATCTCTGTTTACTGTTGGAATTTCCAAACACCTAATACTTATTTATTTATTTTAAATAAATTCAGAATAGATGAAGGAAGAAAAATGCTTGTTCTGAATCAGTCAAACCAAATGAGAGAGAAAGACAATATTATTATTTTAGAAAAGTATTGAGATATTTTGCTAATGCAACTCATTTTGATCTGCTAGTTGAGAATTTTTATTATCAATTAAAATGTTTTGAATTCAGAATTTATATATATGATGTGTGTATTAATTTATCTTAATTAAGTCAAAAATAAAAATTAAAAAAATTGATTAGGATTTATGAATATTGAATGGTTGGGTTATAACCCATTCATAATTTATTATTATTCTTATTCTTTTTATTTAAATAGTAATAATAAAAGTACTCGAATATTTAGATCAGATCAACACATGCAACTGTATCATGTAAATAATAATAAAAGTACTTTTTTTCTTCATTATTTCATAAATATTTGTGCTGTTTCATCAGAAAAATGAGGACATCATTAAGATATCTTAAATGATGCACTCCACGAATTTGTAATTAAATTCACTTAAAGTCTTAAAAAAATCTTAAATAAGAGAGAGAAAGAGCAGAAGGAGCATACTTGGTTGGGTCTTGGCACATAAGAATCACATGCTTTTGTCCTTCCTTAAATATTCTAAAGAAAACTGCAGTTCTTTCCTCTCTGTCATCCGTAGCCAAAACATAAAGTCCAAAGGGACCAATCCCGCCCTTCTCCTCCGCTCCTTTCTGACCACAAAGCTTCTGTGGGTCGCTCCATGACAGATTAAATTTCTCAGCTTTATCCAAGCTTGAAGACAAGTCGAAGCTAACCTCTACATCAGCCTGCGCAGCCTCAATACCTTTTACCTCAATCACTCTCCCACTCTTAACGGTCTTTCTACGTATCCCCACCTCTTTCTTCCTCAGCTTGTTAACCTCTTCAATCGGCCACTGCACTACTTGCCTACCATTACCATCCAACCACAGAGCTCTCGGAATCGTCTGAAACATTATAAATAATCAGATATGTAAAGTTAAGCATCATTTGATCATAAAAAATCTAACTTTGGCATTTCGTCGAACACTTACTTGAATCCCTGCCCACCCCTTTCCCCAGTCATCCTGAGTACTATCAGACTCGTTCGACCAACCCCACAGAACTCTCCTCCCCTTCCCCTCATCAAAGAAAGTCTTGGAAGCGTAGAAGTTTCCGTAATCAAATCTCAGCCCTGTGTTGTTATCCGGGGACAATCCATTCGGCACGTATTTGTTATGGATGAAATCATAGGTCCCTATCGTGTAATAATCGTACCTGGTTTCATCCAAGCTGACCTTAAACACATGTTTCAACCCGTTACGGGTAACCGAATTGTCCACACCCAGCATAGGAGGTTTGGGTAACACGGGAAAAAAGTCAGGGCATTCCCACATACCCGAGTTCTGAGACGAGTGTAACGGGTTCTCTGCCTTGACCCATTTGACAAAATCTCGACTTTTGTAAAGAACGGCCATTCCCAGACGACCTTTGCGGCTGCCGATGATCGTTTTCCAGTGGCTATCCGGCCCATACCACGCCGTAGTCGGGTCGCGGAAGGCACTGGAGTTGATTTCGCCTTCAGGTTTGATTACCGGGTTGTAATCGGGTTTGACCCATTCACGTAGGTACGGGTCAGACAGGTTCTTTGGAAAGGCGACGTTCTGCACCTGTCGATTTTGCCCGTCAATACCTGTGTACATGATGACCGGTTTGTTACCCGGGAGAATAGTTGCCGAGCCGGACCAGCAGCCGTTGATGTCGAAGGGTTTTGTGGGATAAATTGCGTGTTGGAGTGGCTTCCAGTTGATCATGTCTGTCGAGTATGAGTGGGCCCACACAATGTTGCCCCAAACAGGTTGCAACGGGTTGAACTGGTAGAAGAGGTGGTAGATTCCATTGTAGTACATTGGCCCTGTATTTATTAAAGTTATTTTTTTTATCAACCAAGAGATTCTTACATCTGACTTCTCAATGATTTTTTTTACGGTCTAAGGCTTCTTGGGCTGACAATAACAATAATTTTTATTTGGTTATTATTTTTTTTATTATTTTTAATCAGAAATATTTTTATAATAATTTAAAAAAATTATTTTCTCTACAATAGCGTGACAAAGTAATAAAAAAATTGTCTCAAATGAAGTCTAAAATTTTATTTGGGATAGTTTTCTCATTGTTCTATAGCAACTTTTTCTATTAAAAAAAATAATGGTCAAAAGCTGTCTCAAATAAATCCTAAGTTTAGTTTGAGACAGTTTTATTATTATTTTTTAAAACATTTTTTTTGTACAAAATTTATTTGAATTAGAAATTCTAATACTAGAAAGCCGTCCCAAATGAAGCTTAAATTTTTGTACCAAAAATTAGCTTTAAGCAGCAGTAAAAAAACCGTCTCAAATGAAGCATTAGGCTTATTTTTGAAAATTATTGCATCCTCTTATATGTTTATATTTTAAGCTATACTAATTTTTATTTGCACCTCATGACTTTTTCTATAATTTATGTTAGAAGATTCAGCTATTCAAGCCATGATTTTTTTTTTATTATTTTTTTATTAATGAAATTAAGCATTGCTCCTAAATTTTCAGGTAATTTTTTTTTTCTTGTAAATAAAGGACAAGGCTGCATTCATCAAAGCCTGAAATGAGAAATATGTGAAAATTCTATAACTTTTCTCGTTTAAAAATGCTACAGAATATTTACTAAAAACTTGTTCTTTCAGACCCCTTCATAAATTTTTATTAGAAAAAGACTTCCAAGAACCGAATTCTTCTTATTTTCTACAGCGTTCACAAGAAATTTTTTTTAATAGTATTATGGTCTCTCTCATTGCACCATTTTCGCAAACTACCAGCTACTATTTTGTCTTCCTTCACCATTATTTTAATTAATTATTAAGGGGAAAATTAAATGCTGGTTCTTTATTTCTCTTGACAGGAATGTTTTGTTAAAATATTTATTTATAAATTTATTTTTTTTATTATTATTATCGAGGCCTTTAATTGGCCTCGAGAAATTTGTATGGGCTCGAATCTCAAAGCAAATGAACCGTGATCATTTCTTCTTATTAAAATATCTGCAAACTTGATCGTTATCATTCGAAAATGATGTGACAATGAAATAATTAATATTAGCTTCTCCGATCATTCAAAAGCCATATTAGAGATACCCTCTTAAAAGGGACGAATCTCTCGCAGAGAGAGACAATTGAAGTAATAAATACTTCATAAAAATTTCTAAAAATTATTTTCAGAAGAGAATATCATTATTTTCTTAAGAAAAAATTAAGTAGAAAAATATAAATCAGATTTCGTTATATAAAATTAATTATTAAAAATTACTATGTATTAAATATCTAAAATGATTTAACTAATAAAAAATATTTCATGAAAATTTAGCGATATACAGTAGAAATTATTCTATGCCAAGGCCAAATGCAGAATGTTATCCGGAGACCAATCAGAATAGGCCATGTCAACAGTACCAAGCCTGATCAGGTTGAGCAGTACAGCCACGGTACCGTGAGCAGTACAGCCACGGTACCGCGAGCAGTACAGCTGCCACGATACCGAACAAAAGAGTAACATGTCATATTCTGATTGGTCTCTGAACGACCGCATTGGCACCGTCGTCCGCACCGAATAATTAATGCAGATACCGACATCAAACTTCGTGTGCAGTAGTAGCTTGACTAGGAAAGAAAAAGGTTAAGTTTGAATAGTTGAAATTACAGACGCGCACGTTAGCAGTGGCAGCGACGGTTGACCAGCGCGTGGTTCAGAAATGAAAAATGGGGAAGCAGCCACCGTCATTACCATTGCTAACCAGCGCTGATTTTGAGATCACGTAACAAACATCAATTTAGCAACCCCATAAGACGATAAGTTTTTTTTTTTGGAATTTCGTTTGGTCCATTTATCACAATAACAAATTTTTATAAAACTAAAGTAAGTAAGTCTTATGATCCAAATCTCCAGCGATCTCATCCAACCATTTATAAATTCAAGTGGAAATTTGAGAGAGAGAGAGAGAAGAAGCAGAGAGAGAAAGAAGAGAGAACACCATTATCCAGTCTTTGGGCTGGAAGTTGATAACTGTGCGGTTACTAGTAGTTGCACGGAGGAACATTTTTGTGTTCTTCTTTACTGGCAATCCTATGAGAAGCCTCCACTCCATTTTTCTCCAACAAAATATAGGCAAAAAGAATCAGAAGCAGACATTTGGGTAGAACTTCCTTAGAACTTCTCATATTCTGTCTACGTATCCCCCCACAGAGAGAGAGAGAGAGAGAGAGAGAGAGAGAGAGAGAGAGAGAGTGACTCTTACTCCGCTCCTTTTCTGACCCACAAAGCTTCTGTGGGTCGCTTCCAATGAGCAGATTATAATCTTTCTCAGCTTTATCTCCTCAAGTTGAAGCACACACGTGCAAACATCAGCCTGCGACAGCCTGGCGAATACTTTTACCTCAATCACTCTCCACTCTTTATTGGGTATCTCGCGTATCTTCCCTCTATCCTTTGTTAAATTTCCACTTTTTGGCTTTTCTTCCTCTATGTTTTGTTAACTTTTTTGTTGCTGGTTGCTTGCCCTTACTTCAACATTCCGGTCCACTGTGCCTTCTTAATCTCGGTGTTGTCACTCTGGTTTTTAGGCCTTTTGCATTTAGACTCTATCAGTTTAGATTAGGGTCCTAGATGTGTTTGGTCTGCCTACAGCAGCTACTTTTCTTTTTTGTCTGCTTGGAACTACTTGTCTCCTAGTTAGAAACATGTATATTCAATTCTGCTCCTGGTATCGGTCTTTGCCTTCCTGTTCACGGTGATTAAATTTGTTCACTCATAGAGTGTCAAGTACTGATTTCTAGTCTTTACTGTTCTTGCTAAAAAACTCCACTTTGGCTCATTTCGTTCGAACACTTACTTGAATCCTGCCCACAGCTCGCCCTCCTTCTTTCCCAGTCTATCCTGTGAGTACTATCAGAACTTCGTTCGACACACGATCTACAGAACTATCGCTGAACTTCGGGCTTTTTGTTTTCACCTCTTCTACATTTTCAAGAAAGTCCTTGGAAGCGTGAGAAGTTTTCCGGTACATTCCATGATCTCAGCCCCTGTGTTGTTATGCTCGGGACAATCCATCGTCGGGTTGAATGGCTACGTATTCTTGTTACTGAGATAAATCTAGGTCCTATCGTGTAATATCGTACCTGGTTTCATCCCAGCTGGGGGACCTTAAACATTCTGATCTGTGTTCATTAGTCCGTTTACGGGTAATTCGTGAACTTCTCCGGCAAGATGATTCTGTTCCACTTTCATGGCATGCTATAGGTGAGGCCTCTGTGGCTGTGGTAAAGGCGATTTCATCGGGAACTTATTATCCAATTAGTCTAGGTGTGGGAGTTACTCCCATCCCTTTATACCCGAGTTCTGAGTGCGCTATGGTAGACGCTTTTTTTGGCTTTATGCTTGCACTTTGTATCTTATTTGGAGTTCATTCCTTCTTATTTGTATTTTGTGCTTTTGACTGGTCTGTTGTGTTATCATATGCATGACGGGTTCCAGTTCCTGCGAACCCTTTGCGTGCTTGTCTGCCGATACGTTTTCCAGTGGCTATCCCGCCCCATAACCACCCGTAGTCGGTCGCGAATGGCCCCGGTCTTGCAAACCCCCTTCGGCAATGTTTGAATGTTATCGAAGCTTCAGGTTGATTACCGCCTTCTCTCGTTTTATTGATATCTTCTGGGTTGTAAATCGGGTTTGACCCATTCACGTAGGTACGGGTCAGACAGGTTCTTTGGAATGAGGCGACGTTCTGCCCTGCTCGATTTTTGCCGTCAATACCGGATGTTTGTACATGATGACCGGTTTTGTTTTGTTTTTTTTATATCGATTTCGTGCATCATTGATGGGCATATAGTGTTTGTCCTCGATTTTTTGATTCCGTTCTGATCGAGGTCAGCTCCCGAAGTTTGATGTTCGAGGGTTTTTGTGGGATAAATTTGCGGCTTGATTGTAGTGTGGCTTCAGTTGATGATGTTCTGTCAGATATGAGTGAGGCCCACACAATGTTGCCTTTTGTCCAAACAGGTGCAACGGGTTGAACTGGGTAGAGAGGTGTGTTTTCAGATTCCCCTGTATGTGCACATTGGCCCTGTTCCTTATTTAAAGTTATTTTTTCTTCTAATCAGTCAACCAAGAGTATGCTTTTTCCTGATTTATGTTTTTCTGACGTTCTCATATGATTTTTTTTTACAGTGTCTAATTTCGTTTTGCCATTCGTGTAGGTGGCCGTTCCTCGCAGGCGACAATAACACAACTTTTTACCTCTTTTATTTGGTTTTATTATTATGTTTTTTAATAATTTTTTAATCTCAGTGAATTATTTTTATAAGTTTATGTTCCATCCATTTTAAAAATTATTTTGTGTTCTTACTCTCTTCTACATGTGATAGCGTTGACAAGACGTACGGGTTATGCAGGTGACATAATAGTATGCTTCGGTTTCTGTTCTTGCAAACTGAGACGGGATAGTCATATCGTAAGAAATTTGTATTTGGAATAGTTTTCCTCATTTGTCTATAGTTCGGGCTGCCTTCCTAAGGGCTTTTATGATTAATGGGAAGGAAGGTACGGTGGGTCAAGAGGGGAAGGGTCGCTCGTCGAAATGTGAATCCTAAGGGCAGGTGTTGGTAGTGTTTTGGGGCGGCAGGAACCGAGCAGGTGTGCTTTAGTTAGATGTTTATTGTTTTAATGTAGATAGTAATTTTTCTCTCCTTTTTGTGTTTTCAGTTAACCAACATTGCGGTTCCCATTCTGCTGAGTTTCAGAACACTGGTTCCCTAGTTGTCACTTTTTATCCTCGTTTTATCTTTTCGGAAGGGTCTCGCTGCTTGCTAAGAACGGCTTGCAGCGAACA